CCGAAGCCCCGGACAGCCCGCACCAAACCCGAGAGCGCCGGGGTCGGGCCTGACGCACTCACCGACTTGAGGTACTCTGCCAGCTTGTTGGCGTTCCAGCCCAGGACTTCAGTCCGGCTAGGGAGCTGGTCGAAACTCATGTTGCTCCCCTCACGTAGCGAGATATTCCGCTCCGAATCCGAGTCCCTTGAAGAAGAAGAAGAAGGAGAAGCCGAAAAACGGGCAACGAGCGAGCCTGGGCCGACCGCGTCCTCCTGCCCGGTTACCTCCTGCTCGGCATGCTGGATGGAGAGGGCCCCAAGAAAATGGCTCCCGCGGCTTCGCTGCTACGCCCTGAGCTCTGGCGTCGCCGCGCTGCGGAGGAAGTGAGGTGCCCGACGAGAGAGAGAGAGCGAGAGAGAGAGAGATGGCCTGCACGCACTGTGCAGCAGAACGAGCCCGCACCAAACAGCTCACACCGAGGGAGTGAGAGAGAGAGAGACAGGAAGGAAGCGCTCAAGACTGAACGAATGCTGACATCTTCCTCTTGCGAAACCAGGGCTGTCAACCTCTGATGGGGGGGTCTGGTGGGGGGGGGAGAAAACAGCCCCTTCTTGCTGCACAGACTGAGACGACGCGGACGGCATGAAAGCGAGGCTTTTCGAAGAAACACAAATGGCGTCATTCACTACTTCCTCCTGAGTTTCTTGAAAAATCCTCCGGCTGACAAGCGAGTGGTGCTGCGTGGGGGGGGTTGTTAATAAAAACCCAGCCCTCGTTAAGGAGCCCACTGGACCACAGGCCCCGTCTCTGAGCACAGTCTCTGAGCCTGTGTAGGACCCCTCGGACCGTCAGGGAGAACTATATGGTGCACATGGCTGCCTGACGCAACACAGTGGGCAAGACTGCAGGAGGAACTGCCCCGTCCCCCTGTGCTGCACCAGGGCTGCAGCCCTCGGCTCTTCTCAGAAACCGGTGGCTGCACTTCCTCCATGTGCTGCTGTGACGCCGATATTGCTAAGACTAAAAAAAAAAATGAAAAAAAACTATTCGTGAAAAGGCTCCCTCGCATGTACTGTATAGAGCTCCACACACAAGAGGGGACCCACTTCAACACCACAGAACTGCAGAACCACCTGGGTGACACTGTTCTGCACCTGCAGCCCCACGGCACACAGATCAGGGGAGGAGAGAGAAACTGTACAAGACCAGAGTGGGGTTCAGTCCTCCTGCAGCCCCACGACACACAGATCAGGGGAGGAGAGAGAAACTGTACAAGACCAGAGTGGGGTTCAGTCCTCCTGCAGCCCCACGGCACACAGATCAGGGGAGGAGAGAGAAACTGTACAAGACCAGAGTGGGGTTCAGTCCTCCTGCAGCCCCACGACACACAGATCAGGGGAGGAGAGAGAAACTGTACAAGACCAGAGTGGGGAGGACAGACTGAGACAGCTGTTACTCTCATTGCTTGTTTGTGTCGCGGCACTGAGAACGGCCTGTGAGTGCAGTCAGCCGCCCTGCCCCCTACAGGCGGTCTGGTCTGGGCCGCTGGCCCTCTCCTCTGCGGACTCTAACAGCACATATGGACAGCGCTTCGGCGTTCATGCACGGCGATCAGTAGCCATTGCCTTTTCATATGAGATAAACTACGAGAATTTAACAGTTGTAAAAGAAGTATCATGTTTTTTGGAATTTGTAAACAAACTGACTTCAATAGTTTGTCTGTTTTCTATGTTTCTTCTGGTTTCCATCTCTGTGAGACGGCCAGAGTTGAATTCGTGTTGACATTCCCATAATTCGTCTCTGTTCTCTAGACGGAAAACGTTTTCTCGCATGTCTGTAGCTTTACTGTAGTTCCTGTGGCTTTTTGGATGTTTTTGGATGTCCATTTTTGTAGAAAATGAAATTCAAGAAATGGGAGCGTGATTGTATTTGTATTATGTAGGCTCGCCATCAGGCATTTAAAGTTTTTTTTTAAAATAAAAAACTATAATACATTTTACTTTGAAACGAATTGTCGACGTCGTGACTCTTACCTCGATGGACTTCGCGCGTGGACGGCCGGCGGAAGTGCGGCCGTTAGCGGCCTCGAGCGGCAGGGGCGGTTGACGGACGGATCTTAGCGCTGATGTGGCGCGTAGCCGCATTGAGGCGACTCATTCACACAATTAATTAATTAATTTCAAGTCGCCGCCCGCGTACGAGGTTCCCGTGTGCTGGTGGAAAATGGGCGCCGTGGATCTGGAGTCGGTCAATGACGTGTTCACCGTGCTGTGCGGCGTGTGGGTGCTGTGTAAGTAGAGTAGCTACTGGGAGAACCTTTCCCACCAGACGCCAGTTGGCCAATGTTTTATTGAAAATGATAAAGTATGAAACCTGTCCCAGCTTCTTCAGCCGGAGAGGTGCGGTTGAAGGTCTTGGAGACCGCTAACCCAGAGGACATTTTTTTAGCATTTCTTTGTTAAAAAGGCCGGGTTACCGCGACTGCGTGTCCCGCATTGTTCTCTAACGGAATCTTTTTTTAAATACATGTCCAAGTAGCGCTTCATGTTCAGTCAGATAAAGTGCGCGTATTTCAAATCAAAGAGCTTAACTGCAACCTACCCACGATAAATGCTGTACCTGTTTTTCGAACAGCTCCTAAAAAATGACTTAACAAGGAGTAATTAGCCCTAATTATTAGATTAGTGGTAGAAGATTGCTGGTTTTACTAGTGTTGGGTCTGTAACTATCCCGTCTTTTAGTACTGTTATTGTACTAAAACGATCGGTAAAACAAAACGACATTAAGAGTTTCGTACTTTATAGCGATGTAAGGATATATTTCAGTATAGTCCGGGAGGGCTGCAGCGTCTGGATATTATTCCCAATCATCTATTCCTGACTAAAGTCAGGCTGCAAAGGGGTTTAACATGACAAGTCTTAACTGCTGCTGCTCTTGGGGAGACTTAGACTTACACCTGCCTTCCAGGATCAGGGCAGCCCTACGATATCTTTTCCTCAAACACTTATTTTTGTGTCTTATTTCCCTCTTCACAGTCTTTAAGTTTGGATTTGCGTTTGTGGAAGCCGGAAAGACAGATCCTCACCACACTGCAAATGTGTTCCTAAAAAACACAGCAGATACCTGTGAGTACAGTTTGATCACTCGGGCCACGGTGTCTCTGTCCCTCTGTGTCCCTCGCTCTCACACAGACACAGGGCCAACATGTTCCTAAACAGTGTCTGAGGTATCCAAATAATGTGTAAAAAAAACTCTGGAAAGTATTGAGTGCATATATCTGAATGCTTGAGAAATTAACCAGTCGTGTTTTGTTCTTTTTAGTTTTTGCTGAGATTTATTATAACTTATCTTAATGTGTAGTCTACACTTCGTCAATTAAAAAAAATGTCTGCATTACTGTATTTTGCAATTTCAGAACATTGGACACGTTGTAAAGTCTGTAAAGTCTGAAGGAAGGTGGTGCAGTGTTTAGCATTGCTGTCTTGCACAGCTGAGGTCCTGAGTTCAATCCCAGACCTGAGGTGCTATCTGTGTGGAGTTTGTATGTTATTCCTGTGTTTCTGTGGGGTTTCCTTCAGGTGCTCTCCCATATTCCAAAGACATGCTGGTAGGTTAATTGGGTTCTGGGAAAACAGGCCGTGGTGTGAGTGTGTTTGTGTCTGTGTGTACCCTGCGATGGACTGGCGTCCTGTCCAGTGTGTACCTTCCTTTTGCCTGTTGCTTGCAGGGATAGCCTCCGGTTCCTCGACAACCCTGAATTAGATGAAGAAGCTGGCAAAAGGAGAGATAGAAAGGATCTGAATACTTCTGCAAGGAATAATCGATCTAAAGATCACATCCAGCTGTTTCTTGAAATTGGTGCAGGGTGTCAGCTTCAGTAATATGGGTGGGAAGCTCGTTCCACACTCCTACCTCCCTTTTTGTACAGAGTTCTTCAGGGTCTCATCCAGGTGTTTATTGATAGAAACCCAGGTATAAGCTTTAATCACGTGGGTGGGTAGATTGTGCCACACTCCCAGCTCCCTTCATTTAAAGAAGTTCCTCCTGTTCTCAGTGTTAAATACCACGGATGTCCTCTAGTTGGCGTTTCACTATTGATTCTGAAGAAGTCCAGTGGGTTGACTGTATCAGTGGGTTGACTGTATCAGTGTCTTGGAAGATTTGGGAAGCGTGTATGGATTCAGTTCTTCATCCTGTCTGTGTGGGTCTGACAGGCTGTCTGTCTCATCGTATCATTGAGTGTATGTGTTCTGGTAACCAGAATTGTACATGGTTTTCTAAATGAATCCTAACAAATGCGCTGTACAGTTTTGACACAACATCCCTTGATGGGAACTCTAAGATTTTACATAAATATACTAACTCTGTTTGCCTTTTTTACTGCTTCCCCATATGGGCTAGAAGATGGTGTCAATATAAACAGGGTCTTCTTCATAAGTAGTTTCTTCTGTCTCAATGTGTTGTAGTGTATCCTTTTTGTATTTCTGTTTTTACAATTTGCATACAGAACCCTGAACTTGTGTACATTACATATCATCTGGCAGCAGATTTCTCAGTCCTGAATTTGATCTAAATCTTTGTGAATTTCACTTGTGTCTACAATGAAAATGGTGTTGTCTGCATTCTGGTCTAGTTTGCGAACTATAGTAGAATGTAGACAGTTGGTATAAATTCGGCTGAGCAGTGGTCCTAGTACAGATCTCTGAAGTGAATATTGTATGGTCTGTGTGAGTCCATTGCTGCTGTTTCTTGTTCTTGTATCTAACAAATTGATCGGGCGAGACCTTCCTTTTCTAAACTAATGCTAACTATTTCCTGGGATATTATTTCCTTACATACAGTGTGATCCTCTAGTTCAGTTGTGATAATTGTTTCCTTTACTTTACATGTAATAGACATTGGTGTTGCTCTTCTGTTATTACGAGCTTCAGTATTCTCGCCTTTTTTATGGAAGGGTACTACATGATTAACTCTCCAGTCCCTGGGTGCTACACCTGTCTGGTGACTGTTGGAACAGTTGTGCCAGTGGCTTCTGAATCACATCTCTTGTTTCCTTGGATACAGTTGGTAAGATACCATCTGTCCCTGGGGATGCATTAATCTTGATTGGTTCTACTTCCCCAAATCCTCCTGCCTCTTCTATGGTAATAATATTTAATACAGTACTTTTTTCCTGCTCCTGCCTGGGGCATGTTGCTGACTTCTTTCTTTGTGAACTCCTGAGTGAAACACTGGTTTGGTGCATCAGCCATTTCCCTTGCGTTGTCTAGAGTTCTGAGAAGGATGTTTAAATCATCCTTCCCAACCATCTTAAAGAATGGAAAAACAGATGCAGTGTGTGGGTAGTTGTGAAGTCACCTAAGTCCAGCAGAATGTTCTTTTCTAGAGGAGTCTGTTTCTCGTCAGAAAAGTGATCACTGGCCCAATCTCCTCAAGCAGATCAGCCTTATTAAAAACTGGGAAACAAAGGTGCTTGTTAAGATTACTCGATCCTTTAGGCTGGAACTGTAAAGAGCTTTGTAAGGAGTGTAGTCACAGCAGTGTTGAATCTACAGGACATCAGGAGAAATCACAAAGTAATCACCAAGTTAAAAAAGACATGCTTTCGTCCTGACTTCCATTCGCCTGTGTCCTCCGCCCCACTGAGCTGTAGAACCTCTTACCAGGACACTCCTGGCTGTGTAGTAATGAGTCTCAGCTGAGAGCTCTGAAAGGGAGCAGAATTGTACACAAATGTATATCTTCTTACTCAGGATTTTTCTCCGATTTATTCTACCTAATCCTGAACTTCACAGCTCCACTTGAGAGCGAAGCTTAAAGCCTGTTTTTGCAGATCAGTGTGGCATTTGATATAGCTTGTAGAACAATCAAGTCCAGCATTCTCATTTAGTCTGGTGCTGTGTGGTGGGATAGCTGTCAGAAATAGATTGAAACTAATAGCAGGCTTTTGTGCTACGTTTCCTCCACATGCTCCCTGTGTGGCAAACCACAGTTTGTATTACTGCTCTTTATCTGATGGACCCCTTACATTGAAATTGGTGTCTCTGTGCAGTAAATAAATCCCCTTTATTTTCAAAAACCTGCCGGGGCCCCAAGGGTCAAGCAAGAAGGTTAAAAAACAAGTTAAAGGGTAAATTTTAATCAGCACTTCAGGCACGTGCGGTATTTAACGATGTATCTCCTTCGGTTTTGCAATAAATCAGTATTTTACCATCAGTCTTGTTATTTAAAATAAACCTGCAATGGAAGATCTGTGATTTTGCATGGAAATTCAGAGCGCCTTTGGGCTTTCTTTGGAAACGATACCCGCTGTAGGCGACCGTTTACTAAGTAGCTGTTCCTGCACAGCGCAGACACCCCCAGTCGATCTGTTTCCTGGCATCAAAGTGCACGGCGAGAAACGACAAGCTATTCATAGCAAGCAGTTGCTTGGTTTCAGGGCTCGGGGATGGAATGACATCTTCAAGTAACAATTAACAAAAAAGTTAAAAATAGGCCCTGTTGCCTGCTGGCAGTTAAACCTTACTTCAGTGTTCGGCAGTCTTTCGGTGGGTGGGTGGGGGCTCATTTCAGGCCCAGAATACCCCCCCAACTGGCGTGTGGGAGTGTGTGCACATCTTGTGTTTGTGATCGCGTCTCGATTGCACACCAGTTTCCACTTCCTGGTCTCGCCGTTCCACTGCGCTGCAGCCTTCAGTG